GCTAAACATATAGTTACTATATAATATAAAAGTTAAAAAACCACTTTAGTGAGCAATTTTCAACAACAATAAACACTCAAAATGTGTATTTTGCAAAATAACTTCAAGCTAAATAAAAAACTAAAAAATATTCCCTGAGTTTTCCCTGATTTTACAGATTTTTAACAAATATTCCCTGACTTTTCCAGGTATTCCCTGATTTTCTAAATTTTTAAAACTTTTCCCTGGTTTTCCAGGTTTTCCCTGAGTGCCATGAACCCTGTTGGAGTTCTCATATCAAACGATCTGAAAGTCAGAGCACAAGTTGAAAAAGCAGCATCCGCAGCCAATCGCATGTTAGGAAAGCTAAAAAATGCTTTCCGCAGTAGAAACTTAAACTTGTGGCACACACTTTATATATCTTATGTCCGGCCACATCTAGAATTCGCCATTCAAGCCTGGTCCCCGTATCTCGAAACAGACATTAAGTTACTTGAGGATGTTCAAGACCGCGTCACTAAGACAATATCATCCATCAGCCATTTTGATAAAATAAAGCGTCTGCAGGTACTCAAACTAACCACCCTCAAAGAACGTCGTTTGCGTGGTGATATAATCGAACAATTCAAGATTTTCAACAACTATGACGAAGTTAAATTTATGGTCCCACAGCACCAACTAATTGGGCGTGAAGTGTACAACCTACGCAGCCATGACAAGCAGCTTGATCGTCAATTCGTAAGAGGATGTGAGGAGAGATCAAACTTTTTCACAAACCGAGTTGCGGTCCATTGGAACTCTCTCACACAGCACGCGGTAAACGCTCCATCTTTAAATGCATTCAAAGATCGGATTTCGATGCGATAAACTGTTAAATCAGCATAGAGACTCCTGGAAAAGTCTCTTCATCAAATAAATAATTTAACATTTAAATATATACATATGTATATGTATATATTTTTTAATTATTGTTCAGCATTATTGCGGTTTAAATGTATAAATTTGATTACTGAATATATCAAACTCAAACTCATATATAAATATAAATATATATATATACATATATATATATATATATATATATATATATATATATATATATATATATATATATATATATATATATATATATATATATATATATATATTATATATATATATACATATATATATATATATATATATATATATATATATATATATATATATATATATATATATATATATATATATATATATATATACACTTACTAAAGCGTGTTTTGATAAGCATTTGCTCACTTTTTCTGCTTACCTTAAGCTATACTGTTTTTTTCGAAAAATGGTATAGCTTTTTTTTAAGAGCTTTTTAAGAGATTTTTTAAGAGCTTTTTACTAAATTCATATTAAAAAACATTTGCGAAAAATTTGTAATTAAGAGTTGACATTTTTTTAAAATCTCAAAAAACGTCTTAATATTTTTGTTATCATGATAACAAAAATAATAAGACATTTTTTCAAGATATTAAAAAAATGTGCCAATGAATGAACAATCTATTTGGATTTTTCTAAAAATTACTTCATTAATTATTACTCTTTGTTTTTTTTATTAGTTAAAGGTATATAGATACCTTTGCTTTTAAGTTATGCGGGGGTAGGGGGCCAGCACAGAAAAAAAAATTACTTGTTACTCGCAATTTTTGAATGAAGGCAATTTGTTAAATTTCTTCTGCGTGCGATTCAATAAATTTTTTTCATAGATCAAGTTATATTATAAGGTAAAGAAATCACGAGTAGACTATAGCATCTGCTGATGACACTAATATTACGTTGAATATATTTATATAATGGAGGTTTCATTATGCACGCGCACATTACAGATTCCGTTAAATAAATACTAAAGCACATTTTAGTTTAATGACAGTCTCTATTTTTTATTAATGAATATGTATTTTTCTTTATAAAACAAGACAAACTAGTATATAAAAACCTTTTATATTTCTATTCTCTCTAAATTGTTTAAAGTTCGAATATGGATTGTATTTTGAAGGACAAAAAATTTCCTTTAAAAACTTTTAAATCTTGGGACTTTGCCGATGCGATGATCACAGAAAAAGAGAAGACTTACGTTATTAAAATCAAATGTTATGTGATCTTCATCAAAATAAAATAATATCCTTAAACAATTGTGCCGTAAGGGCAGCTGCCCTACGGTTTATAAATAACACAACCCATGTTAAAATATTTTAACATGTTACTATATTTAATTTAAGTTGATATATAAATAAAAATAAAAATATAGTTTAATAAATTAATTAAATTTGTTCTTAACAAAGATTACCTCATATTTATTCTTTTTTTATTTTATGAAGTTAAATTGCTTAAAAACGAAGAAAATAAAAGAGTTTTTTTTTTTTTGTAATTATTCGTAGAATGAAAATACTTTTGAGTTTGTTTATAAGTTAAGGAACTTAATTTTTAATAAACAAAATTTTACGAACATTTATTATAAACAGATACAATTCAAATTATTAAATATACTTATATTGTTTTAGTTGAGTATTAAGTTTGCACGATTAAAGTTTTGCATAGAAGTATTTGTTTTTTGTTTTAGGAATAATTAACAAAAGAGTTAGCATAATTAAGACTTTTATATTTAATTTAATTTTTTTTTTTATTTCCTAAAATTTAAAAAAAAAAGATTTAATCGTTAAAAACTATATTTCTCTATAGCTCTGTTTCTTTGTGATTTGTTTAAAATGTAAAACATTTTTACAATAACATAAAAAATTTATGAATTAAATTCCTGGCAAACGCATTCTACGTATCAAAAATATGCTCAAAGCAGACAAAACGTTTTTATATTTTTATATAACGCAAGTTGAAACGCTAAGCAAGATAAATTTAAAAAAATATTTAAAAACCTAAATTATTCTTTGCTAGTCAAAACAAAATTGCTGTTTAATTAATTAACATAGGTTTTTGTTTATCAATGTTAATATTTTTTGTTTACTCCGTAAATTTTTAAAAATAAAAAAAATCATTATTTTTTATTTAATAACGATTTATAAACAATAATTATTCAAAAACAAATTTCAGAAATAATTAAAAAAAATATATATATATATATATTTACTAAATAATATTGAACTAAAATTAATAATAAAATAACAATTGAAAACAATACAAACTTTTTATTATAAAATTACATTTAAAACATTTATAGTTATTTGAGTTAATTGTTAAATTGAACTAGTTAGCAGTTATTTATTTATTGCCGTAGTTAAAACACCTAACGTCTATAAAAAAAATAAAGATAATTTTATGACGTCAAATATCGCGTTAAGCTAATGCGTTAAGCACTTTTTTATTTAAAACAAGGCCTGAATATAATATACCTTTTTAATTATATAATTAAAAAAGGTAGGAATAATGTACAAGTATAGTTTAAATGTTTTAATATCAGCGGATATTTTAAAATTATTCTTTCATATAAAAACATTTGATTTGGAAAAATGAGATGTTATGAAGTAAATTTTTTTAGTGTGTATTTTAAAAACTAATTGCTATGCGGACATAGATGGAAACATAGATAAACTTGAATGTTCTCAAAACAACATGTTGCGTAAAGATAATATAAAAAATATTTGCTAACACTAAAATACCGCCAAATATACGAATAAACAAATTCTATTGGTTCAAAAAATACGCTGAATAAGCAAATTAGAGTTCCAGAATATTCTGAAGAAACTTTCTTAAAAATGTATTGCTTGAGTTGTAGAGGTAATAATTATTCTTTGAGATTCCTATTTTAAATTGTTTTAAGAATATATTATCAAACAAAACTGATTAAATTAACATTTAAATTAATAAAAGAAATATATTATAATCTTTGATAAATTAACATTTGTCAAACAATAATCATCATAATTATGATGTTACTTTCTATAAAATTTCGTTACATTTTTAAGTCGGTTTTTATTATTCGAAAATAGATATTTGATATTCGAACAAAATCCGGTTAACCGCAAAACCAGATAACCGGCGAAATCACTATATATATATATATATATATATATATATATATATATATATATATATATATATATATATATATATTTATATATATATATATATATATATATATACATACACATATATATATATATATATATATATATATATTTATATATATATATATATATATATATATATATATATATATATATATATATATATATATATATATATATATATGTGTATATATATATATATATATATATATATATATATATATATATATATATATATATATATATATATATATATATATATATATATATATATATATATATATATATATATATATATATATACCTTTGCAACGTTGTCAGAAAGTTTTTCCATATTTTGTTGACATAAAAAAAAATTTAAATGCAAGACCAGAAATTTTTTTTTTCTTTTTATTATTTGATAGACTACCTGCCCAAACCAAACCCTCAGTTGAAGTAGCAGCATTTTTTTGCGAGTCAGGCTATTTGTCAGTCGATATAGTAACACTCTGTTGCAAGTCAGGCTTTTTGTCAGCCGATGTAGCAACACTCTGTTGCCAGTCAGGCTATTTGCCAGTCGATGTAGCAGCACTCTGTTGCGAGTATATATATATATATACACATAAAATTAAATTTGCGTTTTTGCGGTTTTTTAAAAAACTGATTAATGTTTTTAACTTTATGACAACATTGAAATGTTGAATGAAAGTCAAAAGTAATTAAAAGTGATATATTTTATTGTCAAAAGAATCATTTTTTACCTTCCGTACTCTCAAAGCCAACAATTTATAGAACTCTCTCTCTTTACATATATATATATATATATATATATATATATATATATATATATATATATATATATATATATATATATATATATATATATATATATGTTTATTTTTATAGATATAAAAAAAGGAAGAATACAAAAATATAAACAAACAAACAAACAAAAAAAAACAAGGTAAAATAGGTAACAAGACAATATACCTAAATGTTTCTCGCTCAAATAAATTGTTTGAAATACGCAAAAGCTGTGAAATATATGAATCTTCTTGAATCTCACCAGTTGCAGCATTTGCTAAAGACAGTTTTTTCTCAATATCAACGCATTTACTTTGCAATTTAATGTACTCTTGTCGAAGTAAAGTTAAATGCTTCTGAAGCTTTGTTACTTCAATATCTGCTAAAAAACCACAAATAACCAGGTAAAAATACATACCTTGATGAAAAAAAAACTAGGTAACCAAATAAACTTTGAATTTCATACCCATTTTTAACTGTGGCTCCTTATTTTTCTATTCTATTATGCACTTCAAGTAGTCACGGAAACAATGAATGGTTTCTTGCATATTTTTTATTCTTAAGCAATAAATTATTTAAATAATAAAAAATAGACATGGTAGCTTTTTTTTGTAAAATGAAAATAACAATTAATTGAAATTATTTTAAAATAATTAGTTCAATTAGTCAAAGAATTTTTTTTTTTTTTTCACTCAGTTTTTTAATAAAAGGTAATAAAATCATTACTTTAGCAATGTCTGGCACGTTGTCAAAAATAACTCCATAATTAAACAAACACTACTATAATGCAATAAACACTACTATAATGCAATAAATGGTTTCACAATGTCAAAAATAGTTACAAAATCAAAAAATGCTTCAGGGAGTAAGAAATAACATAACAGTGCAAGAACCAATGTTATTGCATAAAATATTATGCAGTTTATAAAAATTATTTTATGCTGCAAGAAAACATTTTACACATTAAAAAAAGATGTCACGTCAGAAATGGTGTCAAATGGTGGTTGTCAGAAATGGTGACAGATTTATGAAACAAAACAAAGCAACTAATCCAAATAATTATTCTTTTAAAAAAAAGTCTTTTGTTTTGGTAATTTTGTTTCAATAAAAATCTTCATTCTGTAGATTCCAACCAATAAATACTCCACAGCTCCATTTAAATGGATTACTAAATCGCAAACATATTTAGGATTTTTTTAAATTGCGGTTTTCGCTTCCTACCAGTATATTTGCAGTCAGCTCTCACACTAGAATAAATTTAAAATGGATACAAAAAAATTCTTTAACTAAAAAAAATATTTAAAATTTGAAATAAAATTTACTCTTTTTCCATTCCTCTTTTGCGTCTGTCTTTTTTCTTTGGAACAATCCAATCCTTGCTTTTTTTAGCTGGTTTACCAAATATGAATTTGATTGATTGTCTGAAATGATTTTTAAAATTTATACTTCTTTTTATATAAAATTTACAAAAAAGCTGTTAACATATGGCGAATTAGTGTAGTCAATTGTTGTGCTCAAATCGTCAGCTCCTAGTGCCTAAATTTTTATTGTTAAACTGTTAAATTAACACATTGAATGTTTGATTGTTTAATTCTAATTGTTTAATTCTAAATTGTTAAATTAACATTTTAGAATTAAAGATTTGAAACAATAAAATAATGACAAAAGAAGAATACATCCTAATAAAGTTATCTAATATTACAGTTACAGGCTTTACAGGCTCAAAACAATAAGAAACATTTGAAATGAAAAAAAGAAGAATACATCCTAATAAAGTTATAAATATCTATTTTAATAGTTACAGACTCTTTGTATAGAAGATTACTAACTTGTAGTCACAAACTGTTAATACAAATTTTGCACTATCTGAACCACTACCAGGGTAGAATTGAATAACAGCTTTACCACCTCTAACCTATATTAAAAACACAAACAGATTATATGTAACTATAAAAAATATGTTCAATAAACCAAATCATTACAAATATATGATTTCATAGAGATAAAACAGAAAATTAAAAACTTTATATAACAATAATTGGTAAAAAAATGAAACATTTAAAAAATAAATTAAAGTTAATAATATTAAAAAAAATTAAAAATTATGCGTTGAACATATTTTTAAAATTTAGACTTCTTATTTTATAAAACTTCTAGCTAATTTTTTATTTCTTAAATAACTTGAATAATTAAAATATTATATGTAAAATGGTTACAAAAAGAATAATTTAATTTAACTTAATTATACAAAATTTTATTTTGAGTAAAAAAACAACAACAATGTTTTCCGATTGCATCATTCAAGATTTACTTCTTTCAACTGCTATAAGTTAAGCATATTTATGTTATTGATCACCTGGTTGAAAAATTGCTTACTAAAATTGTTTAGTTGTTTAAAATAACTCTACTTAAGCTGTAGAAACAAATACTACAAATTGAAAATAGTTTTTGGGTTTTGAAACAAAAATTTTCAATTTTATTGTTACCTCAGAGTATATGCTAATTATTTTAATTAAAGCTTGAAAAATTTTAAATTTCTAAACTATTATTGAATCATTACAAAATCACAGCTTGAAAATCATAAGGCATTAAATATGATATTACTGTAATAGGGATTAAAATTGATTTTATATTTTCTGAAAACAATTAACTTAATCAATATAAGACCCAATAACAAGTAACCTTATTTGTTTTAGTTATGATTATAAAAACCTTATAGATAAAGAATTAACAAATTTATCTTAAAAATTGTCACAATTGTAATGTATTTCTTGAAGAAATTATTTTTAAATATAAAAAACAAAAACTTGAAATATAAACTTTGGTAGGTTTACATTCTTTGTGCGTTATATTTACAACTATTGTGTATTATATTTACAAAAAATAAAAAGTTTAGGGTGAGATTAAAGGTTTAAAAAAAAAAAACCTTTTTTTTTTCCAAACATGTAAACAGAGAATCACCAACATCTAATACTCAAAACAGCTATCAGATGCATATCATTTATTCTTAATTTATCTAAAGTAACTCAACAGCGTTTGTAAAATGCTAATGAGTTGCTTGAAACAAATTTGCAAAAATTTTTTTAGTTCAATTCTTCCCTCAAATTTTCATCTTGTAAAAATAATACAATAAAAAATAGATGTAATCTATAATATGAACAGCCTTCTCAATGGTTCCTAGATGCTTTAACTCTGTAAAAATGGCTACTAAGTTTTTCACTCACTATGATACAGTATGAATCTGTGTAAAAATTACTCTTTAGAGGTTTTAAAAAAATAAAAATAAATTTTTTTTGTACCTTTTAAGTAACTAATCAATTAGTTTAGATCATTTGTTGAGTTATTCTAATATCAGTTTGTCTTATCCTTGGGAGAGGTAATAAGATTATATGTATAAAAGATGGAATACTAGACTTTGTTTGATTCTATAAAAGATTTTACATCATAAGAACATTTGGGTAAAGAATAATAAACATTTTAAACATTTTATTTATATTTATTTCTGCATCTAGTTTTCTGTTGAGAATAGTAAGACTGCTTTCCTCTAAATGATGAAATTTGGGTTATCATATTTTTACATACATCATTTGTAATGCGGTCTCATAGTATGTTTTCCTCTAATATCTTTTGGTGGCTCACCTAAAACTAAGGTTGTTAAGTTTGTATTAGTCATAAAATCTATAAAAATTTTATTCTAAAATTTTTTATGTATTGATGTCTTTTTTAGCTATTAAAATTATAATGCTACTATAAAATATTTCTAGAACTTGTGATAAAGAGTTAGGCATAGTGCATTTTACATACACAAAAAGTGATATATATATATATATATATATATATATATATATATATATATATATATATATATATATATATATATATATATATATATATATATATATATATATATAGAGAGAGAGAGAGAGAGAGATAATAAAAGTATAACTCTGTCATGTCTGAACTTATATTTCAATCAAATTCTCAAAACAAAAAAAAAAATTCTATTAACTGAGAAGAACTCATTATTTATTTATTATTTTTTAAATAAACTTCTTCTAAGCTATTTGCAATGTTTGACTGCACTCACCAGAACAGAATAAAAAGAACTAAAAAATATTTGGAGTCTTTTGATAAGATTGCAATTTTTTTTTTCTGAATTGCATAACCACTGTAGCGCTGATATATTAAAAAAATAAATAAAAAGATTAAAACTACATACTCATAACTCAAATTATATAGAATTGTTTTGTAAATGAAGAACGCGCTTATTTTCTTAACTTTTCTGATTTTCTTTGTTTCGATGTTGCAAGAATATAGCTTGAGAAAAGAAACAAAGAAAAAGAAGAAGTTAGAGAAATATACACAAGTTAGAGAAAAACACATATGTTAGAGAAAAACACACATGTTAGAGAAAAACACACATGTTAGAGAAAAACACACATGTTAGAGAAAAACACACATGTTAGAGAAAAACACACATGTTAGAGAAAAACACACATGTTAGAGAAAAACACACATGTTAGAGAAAAACACACATGTTGGAGAAAAACACACATGTTAGAGAAAAACACATATGCTAGAGAAAAACACACATGTTTTCGAGAAATGATTCAGAAATTATATAAGTATAAAGAAAAAAGCAAAATATTCAAAAATAAAAAATGATTAAGTCTTAAAAAATTTAAAATTAAAACTATTTAATACCTTTGATAAAAAATATATATAAGCACATAAATATTCAAAGGTATGACTTTAAAAAACCGCTTGAGTCACTTTAGTGTTTTCAAGTAAAAGTAGCCGTCCTTACAGAAAAAGATTTTTAAAAACCATTTTTGAAAGAAAAATTTAAATTAGGCAAAGATTCAAGTTGTAAGGAGAGAAATGTCTGAGTATTCAGGATAGCAGGTTCCTAATGGTCCAAAAATGAACCATTAGGAACCATAAAAGCATTAAAATCTTAGATTTTAGGGTTTTATGGTTTTCAAGAAACTGCTTGATCTCAACCTGTAAAGACTGCTTCTTTCACTTTGAAAACGTTTCAGTGATTCAGGCAGTTTATTTAAAGTCATACCCTTTAAAATTTTTGTGCTTATAAGTATTTTTTTTTTTTTATCATAAAATATAAAATAATTTAATAGAAATTTAATTTAATAAATTTAAATAAACTGAATTACTTAAAATTTAATCAGTTAGTAATTATTTTTTCTTGAAAAAAAAAATTAAAATAGAAACAAATAAAAAACTAATTTTTTTTACTTATTTTTTTTCTTATAAAAAAGTTTAACTAGGCCGGGCAACACAAAATTTCTAATTTAAAATTTTTCAAGGTGTTCTTTATTATACATTTAACATTCTTTATCTGGAATTAAGAACCAAAAAAAAATTTTTGAAATTAAAATCCATATATATATAATATTTAAAATTTTTATATATTAATACTGTTTTATTTAGTTTTCAGTATATTAAATAAAAACTTTTAAACATAAGTTATAAAGATAAGTTAAAGATAAGTTAAAAAGCTTTACTGCAAAACTAGAAACTTTTTAAATAAACAAAAATCTTTTAGCTCACTTAATTTCATGAAATTAAAATTCACACCAGTTGGTTGAATTGTTGAAGTTTTCAAGGCAAAAAAAATAAATAGTAGTTTTACATTTTTATAACAATCATGGCTGATTGAAAACGGTTGTTTCACTCAATATAAAAACGAGTGAGACATGAGTTTATAAAAAAAAAAAAGTATTTCTGCATAGAAAGTTTAAAAATAAATGCTTGCATCTTTAAATTACCAAAAAATAAATATCCATCTTTCCTTGTTAAATAAATATTTACATTAAGAGGAATAAAAATAAATATTGCTAAAATATTTTTAATTAATTAGAATCACTTTTCTGATTTTGCACACTTTGCGGATAAACCTGAGTTGGACCAACTGATATTTGATAACATAGCTCAGTGCTTGATAGTTGAAATTTGGAACACTTAGCCATGTATGTCCATTCTATCAGATTCCTATGTCATCTTGGTGATTTTTTTACAAAAAGACTGTTTTTAAAGTTACTTTAATTTGTATTTTTTACTTTATTGTTTTTAAATGCAAAACGTAACTATTTTGATTGATGACATAAGTTATTGAAATTTCAACCTTTTATGTAAATGAAAATAAAAAAATTGTTTTGTGTATCTTCAGCTATGTTATCAAATATGTTTTTAAAAATGTCATGTTTCACAGATAATCTTGTTAGTCTTACACGTAAATTTGTGTTGACATTTTATTGCAATGACATAACCTTTATGGTTATATATATATATAAATATAAATATATATATATATATATATATATATATATATATATATATATATATATATATATATATATATATATATATATATATATATATATATATATATATATATATATATATATATATATATATATATATATATATATATATATATATGCACACACAGCGTGGAATCTGACTAATCAATATATATATATAAAGATTTTTCCTTTTAACTGCATTTTGTCATTTTTTTTTCTTTAAATTTTTTCGTTTATTTTCTTGTAAGTTTTGCTGCAAATGTTATAAATGTTTGAATGATTTATAGATAAATGTAAAATTTAAAAAAATATATATATTTAGTAAAATATCGTTTTATGTAACAATAGTAATTTTTGTAGTAGTGTTTCATAAAACCATTTTCTTTTTAGTTTTTAAACCATTTTCTTTTTAGTTTTTAAACCATTGTCTTTTTAGTTTTTAAACCATTGTCTTTTTAGTTTTTAAACCATTGTTATTTTAGTTTTTGACCCATTGTCTTTTTAGTTTTTAAACCATTGTCTTTTTAGTTTTTAAACCATTGTCTTTTTAGTTTTTAAACCATTGTCTTTTTAGTTTTAAGTATCAAGT